CCCTCTTTCTTTCAATATGTCTTGTAAGTATTAAGTTTTCCAAGCTGTCCTCCTTTGTGCATCTAAGAAATTCCAGCTGTCTCTGTCTGATTTTAAGTGTCTTTCTAGCAATCATTTTCTTTAGAACTTCCTTATTGCTTACATGTTATATCTATGGTATCCTTAGCATCTGTTTGTCACAGCTGTTTGTGGTTTCCTATAGCCTCACTGAACTTAAATAAAGTCAATTCAGGTTTGTTATGGTAAAAAATTTCTATCCCAAGTAAAAATCACCACAAAAATGGCAAAAGTCATTTTGTCACAGCTTATTTTCTCTGAAAAATGGATTTTCATAGTTTTATAGGGGTAAAATATTGAAAAATGAGTGTTTTATCATCATCTAAACAAATATCAAGGAAACTTTTGATCTGAACCCCATGAAACTAGCAAAGTATATATTCTTTCATTTAAAAGTAAAATTGGCTGGTGTAAATGACTCAAATTTTTATTTCAGTGGGTAAAATGTAAAAAAATAGTGAAAATTTTGCATTTTTTCTAGTTCTAAACAAAAACTTTCCCGTTAATGGGAGATTAATCATTTATTTTGGAAAATCAGGAAGCCTAAATCAAACTATTTCAGGCATAAAATTGAGTTTTGAAGGAAATCAACATTCCTAGGGGGTCAAAATGTGACAAAGTCCATTGGTAATTTTCAATTAATATGACTGCCAGGGGTTAAAAAAATTGACACCCGGCCATGGAAATCTTTAGTAAAAGGCGAAAGATTTATCTGCAATTCGTGACCATCAGAAACCAAAAGTAAAATTAAGCCAAATTGACTTTGACATGTCTGGGTCAAAGGTCAGCCAACAAGTTGTCATCAGCTTGTAATAAAACCTACCACTCCTAAATAAGAGCAATGAGTGAAAAAATGTCTTTCATATTTCCCCATTGCTGGGCCATTTAGCCATTCCTTTTATTCAATAATGTTCATGTCAAAATAAAGAGAAAGGGGACGAAGTTTGAATGATGTTATTTTGAAGTGAAAATAAATATTTTTTCACAAAAAAAAGCCGATTTTTTTCAGAAAATCGGGCATAATTTCTTAATGCTAAACACTGAGTGACATTTTCCACAGCCAAATTGAAGATTAATTACCAGTGAATAATTTCATGTGCAAACAATAACCAACTGGATCCTATAACGTCGCCGAAAAAGGTCCAGAAGTTTACTGATTGATCAAAAACTTGTTGTGTATAATTGTATTTTTCATGGTCAGTTTCCATTATTTCATCTTGATGTTGTCATTTTTGGAGAGCCAGGTCATCAAGGATTCAGGAAAACAATTTGGCACAGGTTTGCTTTAAGAACTTTACATTCTATGAGGTGTTTAAAATGTTACTGACGAATGCGATTTTTCACCAAATATTTCTTTTACACGCCATGTTGGATTTCCCTATATGACAAAAAGCATTTTAAACAACTGTGTTGTAGAATCACATCTCTGACACTTCAAGTCTCATTCTTCATCTATAAGGAAATTGTCCAGCATTCATTGTCATACAGGAGAATAGATATGATGCAGATATACAGCATACTTTTCTTTGTTTTATATCCAAAATTTACATTTTCTATCTCTGCTTCCCAACTCTATCTCCCTCCCACACACACAAGTATGTAATGTACATGCATACAGGGGGAGGATCAACAAATTCCAATCAATAAATCCATAAAATTATTAGCTGAATTTTGATCTGAAAATTTCACTGCTCAATGTTTGTTCTATTTGATTAATTACTGAATTAAATACATTGATAAAGAAAAAGGGATTATGTTGAAAAAATAAACATTTGTTGCGTAAAATAAATGCTAGTTTTCATTAGGTTATAGCCTTAGTGATTTACCTCTCTATATATGTATGCATGTACATTAGTACAGACCAAAAACGTTTTAAAGAATCAATATACAAATCACTGAGAATAATTGGGAGAATGATGCTAGTGACCAGTTAGAATGAAGAGGCAAACTCTTTAAAGAAAACAGGTGCAGTCATACAAAGATGAGAATAGATGTAAAAAAGGCACTATTAAAGAATGATGACAATACACTTTTTGTGTGTGATATTTTTTGTTGCTGTGTCTGCCTCTTTCAAGCTGGCCTGACTGAACATGCATTAAAACCTCCAACTGACTATATGTAAATAATTTCTCTTGCCAAATCTGCAATAAAGCATTAGCTAGACATGTGAAATCTTAAATATCAATATAGAATCCAATAATCATTTAAAATAGGTTTTTGTGTTGTCTTTGTGGAAAATAGTGTAAATCTTGTTATATACTGTACCTATGAACACTATTGGGTATGTCCCAATCCTCGTAAATATGTTGGATACTATTGTAAGTGGGGGTAATATGCTGTCTAAGTAGTCTACCGCTAACAGTGGTTTACCTACTTTACGCCGCTGGTGAGTATTGTATTTTGTTGATGCTATAAAGATTACCATTTCATTTCCAACTTCCATGTTGGTTCTTCCTCCTTCAGTAACCTTTCCTAGGTTACAACAAATCCTCTGCAGGGCTAAAGAATCATTTTAAATAACACAATTTATAGATTTCTTGTAGATATTTCACTGATTTTATTTTTTATTCAATTTTTTACTGTGTAACATAATAATTTATATTTATTTTTAATTCTAATATGTCATTTTGTATATAGTTATTTTTTTTGTAAATAATTTTAACCAGTTAAATTTCTGTGATGCAGTCATATGATTTAATGTAAAATTAGTGTAACAGTATAAACTGTCTTGCAATAGTTGTCTTAACTTATATGTTAATGTGTTAGAAATAGTCATACTTGATTAACGAGTTCACAGCCATAGACACATTAAAGAAAAGACCTAACCATTTGGATGTTTTTTAAGATAATGCAACAAAACATAGCATTCACCTGTGATTACCCAGATGATTTATATAGATTAACTTCATTAATGCTGCTAAGAATTGGCATTTATCAACATTAGAGGGAATAAAATGTAAAAAAAACAACAACTGCAACATATGTAAGACTGCACAGACAGTGTAAGATTTATGGTTGCCCTGAGATCTGAATCTGATTTTAGCCAATCAAAATGCTGTGTTAATGTTTTTCAGGTTTGCTGTTTCATCAGTGAAATATTTTGTTTAGTGCTTTTTGGACTCAAGGTCAAAAACCTTCAATGTTGTAAGATTGTTTAGTAAAACAGCTCACTTTGAATTATTAGCTTTCTACAACTAGGATTTAATAGAGGAACTATTATATTTTTCCTCAAAAATGGTTTAAAATAGTCCTGAGGTATTATATGTAAAGTTGAGATATCTAATAGATTAATGTTTACCGAGACACTACTTGCAGCTGCTTGAATTCTATATTGCTGTAATATTAAATTAAATAACAGGTGGCAGGATGGAATAATTGTTATATGTCATCAAATATAATAATCCTGTCAATGAAACCTTTTTTGTTATTTGCAGAAGGCATAATCAAAGCAAAAGTGAATTCATTTTTGAAGAAAATTCCCAAATGCAATTCTCTTTCAGTTAAGTTATACTCTGCTTCAAATTAGATATCTTTCTGATTCACTCTACATGCACTAAGCATCACATCTGGCCCATAAAAAAATTCCCCTCAAAAAATATAAAATAAAATAAAAAAATTAGCCAATCACAAATGTTGCCACCAAAGAAAAAGCATGAAAAAAGATGAGTTCATGAGCCACTGCATTTGCTTTTAAGAACACTACTCATAACAACTGAAACAGAATTGTGGTAAGCTATCAATGCCTTTGGCAAGTTCTCAATGTCACCACCAGTGACCTCAATCAACTGACCTAACATATGCATCAACTCCAGGTTCTATCAACTCTACCCTTCCTCCAGGTCATTTCCTTTGCTCACAAAAAGACATTATATTCACATCCTTTGTATTGGCAATACAAAAAGTACACTGACACTTAAAATCAGAAAGAGATAGTTGAAATTTCTAGTACATATAATGAGGAAAGAGGGCTTCGATAATTTGACATGCATAGGACATATTGAAGGCAAGAACAACATAGGTAGATTATTTACTGTTTCCCTAATAAGCTTGAACAGATAAACCTTACTAAGAGCTACAAAGTTGTAGACAGCCATGAATGCCCATGTTCTAAAGGGATATGGTACATAGAAGATTTAGATTAGCATGCTTATCTTTGTTCTTATACTCATAGTATTTTGATTATAGTGCTCTCCAGCTTTCTTCAAATGACTGTTGTTCTTTCGAACATTCTTGGAATTTTGAAATGAACATATCTGATTCCCTGGTAGTTCTGAGTTCAATCCTTGACTCTGGTAGTGCAGAGAAGTCATTTACTATGGTTAAGTGGAAGAAATGAGCAAACGATTTATTTTTCATCTGACATTTTTCATTACTTCAAATGTTATTTTTATTGGATACTCAAATTTGAAATAGATTCCCCATTATTTTAAACAGTGTGTATTATGTATGTCACTTGGCACATTCTATAGCTGAGCAGTTTAAAGCACACTGTATCAAATGGTGGTTTCTCCTCCAAAAGTGGATACAGGTTTGAATCCTGCCAGAGAGCACGTTTTCTTGATTTTGTCATTTAATTTCTTTTTGTTTATATTTTTATAACTATTTTTTTAATTAAGTATTCCACATTGTGATAATCGAGGATTAGCCAAGGCAAATAATGCAAGAACCTGAATGCAAATTTACTGTGGATGATCTCGCAATTTCAACACTTTCCGTACACTTTTATTTTAGTAAATTGTTTTCTCTTTTAATAGAAGCAGCATTTTTAAACTAAAATTTTATTAAATTTAACTCTGGCATAAAAAAATTTATATATCGTTTTCTTCCATACTGTCAACATGGAAAAACAATTGTTGTAAATATAAAAAAGAAAATGCTTCTATATATTTGTAGCATATGCACATTATATTTCTGTATCTACTCTAACAAGCTTACGGACATATATTGAAACACTGGTTCCCATTCAATCACTGAAGTTAACCAAAGTTGAGCTTGGTCAGTATCTAGATGGGTGACACCACTTAGGAATACCAAGTGCTGTAAAGCTTGGATACATGGGTAGTATGATAGATAAATCATAGAGAGTTGAGTTCAAATTTCAGCTGAGTTTGTTACATTCACTTATGTTCAAATACTCTTGGGAAAGGTATTTTAATCCCCAAGCTATGGGTTAAATAGTAAAACAGGCCGAGTCCTATAGCCTTAGTTGGCAACCAGTCTACCACAAAAAGTCATGACAGCCTACCTTGGAAATGTGAATAAATGTTTAGTAATTTATCTCTTATTTTCATACAAAGTAACAAATATTTAGTTCTGATGTATTTAAAAGTTTTCCATATGTATACATTTAAGTACTTTCAGTCATCATTGGTAATTTTCAAGAATAGTATATAGTATAATTCTAAAATTCAAGACAACACTGATGCATTGTTTTTATGGAATTTGCTGTTTTGAATGTTGTAAATTTAAATGTTTTGATTTCTTGATGGTATCATTTGGGGCTGTTGACAGATAGCAAATTAGTTGATGTGAAAGAATTGTAGTCAGTTGACTAATAAATATATTAGATATTATTGGGTGTGTGGCTGAGTGGTTAAAACATTGGTGTTCCAACCATTAACCTGGGTGTTGAAACTCACCATGGTCAACTTGTGAAAGAGGTAACTGCTTGATGATATCAGCCTGGTGAGATGATCCTAATATGTGGCACATTAGAGAAGTGTCTGAAAACCATACCATGGGTTGAACAAAAGTTTGTGAGAGGATTTGGGTAGCGGAAACTATTTCTGCATTGTGTCAACAGGTGCAAAAGGTACAGAACAATGTAGCCAGTATGGTATTCACCATCTGTCAGTTGTATGCATGTGAGAGTGCAACTTTGTCTTAACTAAAAGGTATGCCTTGACCTTGATCCCTGTCATTCTCTTTATCCTTTTCCCAAACACTCCTCTTTACTCTTAGTAACCCCATGCATGCTAGTGGCACTCCCACTTTGGGGTGATTTGCTTAATATTAGTGGATTGATATGGAGTATGAGTACTGCTTACACACTATTTTGGATCCCATACATGTATTTGCCAATATGATCAGTTTTGAGTACATTTTGATTAGTTAGAGCATTAGCATTCTGCCCATGGTTCAAATCTCACAGTGGTTGATTTATCAAGGAGATAACATCTTGATAATATCAGCCTGGAGAGACACTCTTTTGGGAAGTATCTGAAAACCAAACTATGGGTTGACTCAAGTTTTTTGTGTGAAACTGGGTAGTTGAAACTGTTTGAAAATCATTGATGGTTGTGTTAACAGAGGAAGTCACAAGTGATAGTGACCAAAGGTATACTGACATTGTTTAACTACTGATCCTGTCTTTTTTTCTTAAAAATACTTTTGTTTATATGAAAAAATGCAGGCAAAATTCATATTATATATATCTTATAACATACTCATATATTTTTTACTTTTCAATATGCTTATGCACACATATATTCTTTAACATGTATATATTTTTTTAATCATTTCACTCCAAGCAAGGCAATAAAGCCATTAAGATGCAAGGGGTTACTGAGTGTGAGAGAATATGAAAACAAAATGCTATTAAGAAGAAAGAACAATAGTAAAACAGGAATTAAGAAGATAACAATTGACATTGCCTTTAAATTTTTGAGGATAATTATATCTCTCAAAAGTAAAGCTGATGCTGCAACTTTGGTAAGTTGAGAAAACTGCAATGCATAAATATACTACCTTACAAATAAATGTACAATCAGACACAATGCCTTTAACTTTACTTACTCTTTAAAAAAAAGTTATTCTTCTTGTTGCTTACTTTCGAACTGCCTTCATTTTATTTTCATTTAATACCAGTCATCATATCTACTTTTATCTACCAAGAAACAGTGGAATTTATCGATAAAAGCCCAAGTCTTTCAATCATAAACACTATCTTTTCTAAGATATCTTTCTTCTCAGATGCACAAAGCCTATATATTTTGCTGTCAGTACCTTCAGCTTTTTTCTTGCTTCCTAATCAAAATAAAATGATAGCCCATTAACATAGACATGTTTAGCTTTCAAGTAATCAGAATTGCAATCCACATGCAACCAAAGTAATTGGACCTTTTTTCCTATTAGTTTGATATTTTTGAAAGGCTCAAGTTAAAAGATATTCATGGATTCCAATAAGTCTGCCTTCTTGCAGTTTTAATATACATTAACAAAGCATATGGATATTCGCAGCAAAGAAAGTCGCACCCTTGCAGCTTATCAAAAAAAAAAAAAAAGAAAAAAAGAAAGACAAGACTATTTAATAGCAAGAAGTTATAATTCCTTCCATATGTGAACTAATTATCTGCTTGGTTACAGTGGGTCAATTCTTAACTCAATAAAGATGTCTGAGTTATGAACTTTGAAAGATTCAAAACTCTAAACAATATCTGCATTTTGATCTCTATATATTGCTATATCTATACAAATAAATGTGAATGTCAGTGTGTCAGACATTTTCAACTTTACTCCTAGAGGTACAGCTTTAACATATCATACCATTTTGGAATCAGGCCGACTCTGTGAGCAAATTAAAAACATTCCAGGCTGGATTCGGATCCACAATCCTGAAATTTTGGATTCCCAATTTTTCATTACTGTGATTTTTTTTACATGATTTTTTGCGACAAATTTTTTTGTATAAAAACAATTTTATAATTTGGAAATAAATTTGGGAATAACTGAAATTATCTGCAAAATCTAGCAAAGTCACCCATGAAATAAAAATAATTGTTTGTACAGAAAGTAAGGACCTATATATATCAAATTGTGTTTATATTAAGTGGCAGGAGAAGAATTATTATTGAAATTTTAAAAGGTAAGCTTAAATATTAATGCATTACTTAAATGCAGCGATCAATTTTGAGTTCTTCTGTAGTTTATTGTTGTCTATTGCATATGGCAGCAGTATGCCTTGCAAAAAGAAACCTCTGTCAACAGAGGACTATATCAAAAGAGCCAAATGCTTTTTGAACTGAACCCTTTATTTTGTCCACTGAGGTAAATTGTTCTAGTTCCACATGCCATCTACCCTGGTGGACGAAATAAAGGGTTCAGTTTGAAATTCCAATCACCTGAAGAAGGCCAGAGTATACAGTGGTTGAAATGTGAATATGGCAACAAATATGAAGACAACAGTCTAAATAATATAATTACCATACCTCATCTTCTATACTAAGATGAAGAAATATTGATAAAAACAAATCTAAGATTTTCAGATTCATTTTTTGTAAAATTCAACATTTTTATTTTAATTATGCTCAGTTTTTGTGTTTGTTTTTTCATAATCTATTACACTCTCTGGTATGCTTTAGGTAAATATTTGTTTTAAATATATTGTATATCAGTTTCTTTTGTTTGTTTTTTTTTAGAAAATCTGGATTGTAGAAATTTGGCTGCTGGTTTAGATTATTAAGCATTTCTCAGAGAAACTCAACAAAGCATTTAAAACTACCATAGTGAGAACCTGTGCCAATCCTAAATTTCTTGTAGCTCAATCATTGCTGACAGCAATTACAGAAAAATAAGGTTCCTGAAACAAAGGGGATCTGGATTTGAGCTTTAACATCACTACTGCTAATACTAATAGTTGAAACAACGCAACTGAAATTAAGAAGAAAGAAATACAATTAAAATGTTATTATATCTTCATCTAACATTTCATAATAATATTACTACTAACAGGTATCCCAGATGAAAATTTCAAACAGGTGATAGGTGTTATCTGATTGCATTTTCTTAATCTACATGATTAAAGAAACTTAGCAGTTTTTATTTCATCAAGATAGCTCAAAGCATTTAATTTTGGCAGATTTTTCTTTATTTTTACACATGTGCTCAACAGCCACTTTTTGTCTATTATGAATTAGAACAAAAAAAAAACATATTTGGATGCCTATTTTTTAAAAAGCAATTAAGAACAACAGTTAACATTACACTAGCTTGTTATGTACATGACAAAGAAATTAATAATAAAATTAGAAATGATATCACTCCATATTTCTTAAATAAACTCAGTCTGAATATGCAAATTTTATAAATCAACCATCTGCAATGATGTGCAAATGGCTCATAACCTGAGGTTTGACCTTTCATAAAACTAGAAATAAAATCCATGTTCATCCCAAATTTCAAATATCACATTATGACTATACCATTAACAAGCCTAATTTTTGGCGGAGTGATAGAATGGATATCTTCTGGATTATTCCACTTCAAAGTTGGAAAAAAAATGCTTTTTTTACCCTTTGTCATAAGGTACTTGAAAAGTCAGTTTTAGACCAAAGAGAGGACTTGCTTGAATTGTCATAAAATGAATACTTCTTACACTAGAAATGCCAAATGTCATATCTAGTCATTTCTGGGGGCGCTCTTTCCATTTATCATGGTTAAAACGATCTAAAATCAACAGATTAGAATGTATATGGGGCAGATGCCGAACAAGTATGGTCCTGACTTAACATGTACAATTTCTGGGTCGTAAAGAGAGAAAAGCTTAACATATGCCAAGCAATACCCACTAATGAACAAAAGAAAACATCAGGAAACTCACCATATCCTAAAGTAGTATTCAACCACTAAATCTGTAACTGAAGTCATTAAAATAAAAATATTTCAACTGTCACAATTTGATCAAAAGGTTGATGAGGTTCTGACAGTAGCAAGTTCCAATCACTATGTAAGTGGTATGAAATCACCAAATTGTCTCAATTTTTAAACTGTAATGTTCCTCTCACATTATTCACATAAAAATAAACAAAGACATAAAATTAATCAAATAGTTTGTTATTTGGAGATTTTCAGTAATGGTAGGCTGGGTGGTAAGATAGTCAAAAGTAAGTCTTGGCATACTCTTCATACAATCCCTCCAAATAATCTAATTCAGGCACTACCCAAGTTTTTCTAGTTTGACTTCCACATTGTACATCAAAGTCATGTGCAAAGACAAATTCAATTGATTTATTTGTAGCAATGTCATCAACTAGTGGCCATTTGAA